GGTAGAGGTGGACCGTCTCCGGTTGCGCGCTGCGGTGCCTACCGTATCGAATCGTGTGTAACGAAACAAGAATAAACTGTATTAAGCACTTCTGATATCTATTATCCTGACATCCCGTCGAGTTGATTCTTACAAGTGATTTTTTTAAATTTTGTGGTTTTGTGATGTCTCCACGCCTTCCCCTGCAAGACGCTCGTAAAATAGAAAAAAGTGATATCCAGGGGGGAGTGCCCGATGCTCCCGAGTTTGAAGATATAGAGGATATAGAGAGGCCCGCTGCTCCCGAATCTCCGCGCCATCCGCTTTCGCGCATCTTACGCGGAATCGGGCGGATGCAACTAATCTGGGACACCCAACTGCGGGCTCGACATCCGGACGCTTACCGCCCCATGAACGTCGGACGAGCGCAACAGCTCGCTAACATCCGCGCGATCATCGAACGCGGGCGAGCTCAACCGGTCGTCGGACGCGAGCGGCCGCGGGCAGAGGTGCACGCGAATTTATTGGCCGCGTTGAGACGGATGACGGTGGGCCGCGGCCATGGGGCTCCCCCTCGTCAAGCTTAAGGTATTTTCTTTTTTTTCTTTTTTTATCTAAAAATTAATAACGCGGGAGCGAGAGAGAGACCGCGCGCGAGGGAAAGACAACGCGAGCGGGAGCGCGCCATGTGACGTCACGCGGACCCCTTGCCATAAACCGTGGACCCTCCGCCTCCCCGCGGACCCTTCGGCCGCTCACATCTGAAGCATTAAATGTTTATAAATGTTTGTAGAACGTGTCCCGACGCGCTGGCCGCCCTGACAAACCCCCTCCACCTGCCCGCTCGCCCTCGAGTCCCCCCCGCTCCTACTCCTACTCAGATCACTTAAAAATGATTTTAAAATAATATATTAGACGAAAAATAATTTTAATAATTTGCACAATACAAAGAGTAATTTTTATAATTTCTAATTGTGTGGGGAAATTTATTATCCCTTTTGGATTTTACGTCATTCATATAAATTTCTCATCTCTACATGCTTTTAAAATGAGATTCAGCAACAAATCGTTCGAATTGATAAAAATACGCATATGGGCCATGGGTCTTAAATTTTATTGGAATTCGCGTCTAGTAATTTTCAATCATGTATTTTCAAATTAAAGTTTTATTGTTTATATTATAAAGTTTATATATTTAAAAGTTTAATATAAATTTCATAATCGCGATCAAATTAAAACGTTGTTGATATAGAAAAATTTAGTAATTATTTACAATAACTAACACAGCTCGGATTACTTTGACCTTGACATATGTTGCCAAGATCACCTTCCTCAGCAAGAGAGGGGCTACCGCACCTCCCCTGAAAGCAGGGGGGGTGTGGGTGAACCTTGTTTCGCGTGGAAACTGTATGCGTGAATTATTTCGATATATTTCTGAGTCATTTATGTCTTCCAATACTCAAAATAGCTGCTATATTTTTCAAACTTTTTTTGTTTATAACTTTTTAATAAACAATGACCGCCGGCTAAAACATTGTGAAGGTCACTCAAGAGGGTGACTTTGACAACATATGTCAAGGTCAAAATAATCCGAGCTGTGTTAGTTATTGTAAATAATTACCAAAAATGTTTTCAAATTTAGATTTGTTTCCAATCGGATATCTATTTTAATTACTGAATATATATCTATTTTAATTGCTATGAGTGTACGCGTGTAAAGTATAAATGTGAAATATTAATTCATACGCTAATAAAATTATTATTGTTATTGTTAATTGTTAATTTCGTATTTAATTAATTTAATTATTGTAATGGCCTCTTTGCGACGCGTTTGTGTTTCGCGCATCGTTCAAAAGCGTAAAATCTTACGCTTATTGCCGGCGATGATTATAGCCGATAGCAGAAGGAGCATTTCTTCTTGCTGCCGATCTGACTGTATGAAGTCAGAATACAGCCAAGTACTACAAAAGGTGAGTCTACTCTGGCCAGAAGAAAGAAGACGAAGAGGATCAAGGTAGGTTGGTGTATAACACCAATCAATTGTACCAGTATAAAAAGTAGGCTGTACTTCCGAAAACGTCCATACTCAGATTTAGGTGAAACTTTGTGAATACGTGAATACATCATGCGTGAGCTTTTCACGCATGGAAAGTTTTAAACTTATGTAGCACCTTGTTTCGCGTGGAAAATGTATACGCAGAAGCAGCAAATTAATATATTTGTACTTTGTGTATGACTTTATGGTTGTTTACATTACTTGAGAGTTGTTTTAGTTTGTTTCGCGTGGAAAATGTATGCACGGAGGCAGCAAGTTAAAAATGTTAAAAAAGTTGCTAAACTTTGGAGTCGCAAAAAATCCTTTTGGTATATGTGTTTTCTATCTAAAAGGAACCTATTCACAAAGTTTCACCTAAATCTGAGCATGGACGTTTTCGGAAGTTTCGCCAAAAGGTACATGTAATGGCAAGCCTAAGGTTTTCTTGTATACGTGCGATTGCATGTAATCAGAGACGGAAAAATACCGTCTTGAATTATATCTAAATTAAATCCGAATTAATTCCGCGTAAATTAAAAATTAAACTCTCCATAAAACTCCTACGGTTCCGATTTAAAATCAAATTTCCGCGCACTTTTTTAATTTTGGGTAATCGCGATCATAACTATAGGTATATCAGATAAAGACACGGGTGGTAGAAATATTATTCATGTAGGTAGGTAGGAACGGGTAAAAACTAGATAAAAATCGGGTAGGTAGAGATACGGATAGGTAGAGATGAAAGAGGGGTGATTCGATGACAAAAAGAAATTAATGTATTTAATAATTTTAAGAAATTTAAGTTTGTTTTTATGAAAGTGCAATAATATAGGTTGTTTTATGTACAAAATTACATTTTGTCGTATAAAGTGTATAAAATGTATTAATGTATAAAATGTTAGATAAATTGTATAAAACGTAATTGTATTAAATTAAACTTATGTTTAATTCATGTAATCTGGGTTACACGAAATCGAAACGTGTTTATAACACAACATTTTCTAAAGTAAAACGTTATTAAATATTTTCTTCTTTTATTTCTTATTTTATTTTTCTTTAATAGCGTTTGAAAATATCGCCAATTTTTTATAATGTATAATAAGAATTTTTTAAATAAAAATACAAAGATATTATGGCTAAGCTAGTGGTCGAATATTAACTTTCTACTCGTGAAATTTGACATCGCCGTTTTACTGATTGTGAGTCGCGAATGTATTCGAAAAAATAGTTCCGATTCAGAAGTCATATCGTCAGGAGCATTATATCGTCCAGCTACGAGTCAAAAGTCGCAAAATTGCTTGGTCTTTACAAAATTAATTTAGAACTAAATTAATTTTTTTTTTAGTTCTACATTAATTTCCTAAATTTCTTTTCGCGGTAAATATTTGTGAAAGACTATTGCGAACACCGCGTTTTTTCCACGTTCGTGATCGCGATTACTATCTTGGTGATGGGCCTTATCACTGTTTCTCACGTTAGGTGAACGCTAGCGAATGCGTGGTTCGTACCGGCGTAGAGTCGAAATAATCTTTATCGTGATGAGTAATTTCTCGTCGGTTTTCGTGGGACCTATCTGCGAGACGCCTAATTCGGCGTCTCGTTGAAAGTTGGAAGCTACCGTTGCAGTGGCGAAGTTAATCCCATCAGGTTTTCTTAGCGGTTTCCGGAAGCAGTAGTTAAAGTTTTGGCAATGGGTCCATGACGACTACCACATGTTTTACAATCGCTGAATTAATTATTATATTCTTAGAGAAGATTTTATTTTTCTCGTTAAATGTTCTCCCATTAATAGTAATACCTACTAATATTACTTTTACAATAATGAAACTTATTAATAGTAAAATGTGCATAGATATAACGATAAATTTATACTATTAAGAAAATAAATTCAAATCAAGAATTATTTTGCATGCTCTTCTCAATACATTCGAATCGTGCTTAAGAATGTAGTTACAAACGTGTATGTTTTTTCTTTAATTTTTTATCTCTTTTTAGAGACCATTTCCAGATACATAGGAGTTAGCTGAATCGTACAGATTAATTTTTAAGCATTTAAATAGTTTAGATATTTCTATAATAAAATACATACGCAAACGGGGGGGGGGTGATATTTTATATTCAATAAATTTTAATTTTTATTAATTTTTAGAAAAGTTTAAAGTTTTTCTTTCTCGTACATCCATGAATGTAATAAAAAATGTGCGGATACTTGAAAAATTCGATACAAGTCGAATGAGTACCCTGATATTAGATTATAAAGTATCGATAACTTGAATTTAAACGTAACAAAGAAATTGGTAAATGATAAGATATACATATATATTGTAAAATGTTCCTATATAAAATTTTTCAGAATCTATTATCGGGTTCGACTTGTCTCAAATTGAGTTGGTACCCCAGGATTATTTGTATCTGCATATATTAAAGTTAAAATAAAAGCGCATGTATTTCATTATTCTTAAATATACTCGTTTGTAATTACTTTTCCGTAAAAACTGTTCTATCCATGTATTTTTTAATAGAAAACTGCGGTAAATATTATTTTTTATTTTGTGTAAGAGTAATTTTTTTTTGTTTATTTTAGTTATATTATATATATAACATCATTACATTTGCAGATGTAGCACGGATGCGCACCAGAATGATGTTTCACATCGGCAGTGTCGGAAAATGAACGTGCATGACTACGTAGTACCAATTTTGAAAATGGATGTACTGGCGGTAGTGTACAAGGGATTTCAACGATCCTACGAAAAAGGCCGAGATAACCTCTCTTAGGCTTCTCTCTGCTGTTGGCCTTCCAGGCGGCTGAGCCCACGCTTTCGAAAATCATGTGAAGCGCAGCGTCGCGCGTCGTGCCTTTAGCTACGCCGGTCATGTGGCTACCGAGTAGCCAATCAGAGTGAAATTCTATTCCAACGAGACGGCACATGGTGCTTCTTTCGGTCTAATGCTTGTCGGTTTCAATTACTCCTTGAAAAGTCCTAGGATCGTAAACATAGAGCGAGCACAGGAAGTTTGAAGGTGCTCGAACGACACGAGAGAACCAAGAGAAAGCTATCTAACAGGTAAAAGGATCTACATTTTGTTCTGTTTCGCCGACGATCTGAAATGAAAGCTTGCCGCGTGCGACGTGATCTAATTGGATGTAATAAAAGTATTCGTAACACCAACGTGAGATTATTACTTTTTGGCCGAAAATACTTCGACAAATCGTCGAGATAAGTAAAGCGAAACGTTTCATCTCCGCTCAATCACGCTATTGTATAATATTATCAAAGTGATAAGGTAAAACCAAATGAGCCAATAATTCCATTGTAAGGTTAGAGTAAACTCGGGTAAGATATGGTCATAAAGGAAAGATGGCCATCAACCTATCTTCTTCTTTTTCTTAATTCTTCTGGTTTATGGCACAAAAGTTCCCTCATGGATAGTATCGGCTATTATTCATGGCCAATCTATGTTCTTTCAATCTAGCTCGCCGTGATAGCTCAGTCAATAGAGACATTTAAATGGAATTAATTCGCGATTTTTTTTTTATTGTTTTGGAGGGTCATGGGTAGTCTAAAACCGGATTTTCAGGATTCTAACCCTGGAGCGTTGGCCGCCATTTTGATTAGAAGGGTGATTTTGTAAATATCGCGCTTATTTTCAACTTTAGAGTGAAAGTGGTAATAACCAAACTTGTAGAAAATTTAATACTCTACAATTTTTTGGTCCTTATCATTTTTCACCTAGGATCGATATTTTGGGTCTTAGACTCAAAAGTGGGGAAGGGGGGGTGAAATTTTTTTATTTGTTTTTTATTTTTTGAATTTACTTGGTATAATGAAAAACATCTTTTCCACACCACCACGGGGGTAGCGTTTATGGCGCGTTTATTCAAAAAATAAAAAAAATTTACCCCCCACTTTTGAGTCTAAGACCCAAAATATCGATCCTAGGTGAAAAGTGATAAGGACCAAAATTGTAGAGTATTAAATTTTCTACAAATTTGGTTATTACCACTTTCACTCTAAAGTTGAAAATAAGCGAGATATTTACAAAATCACCCTTCTAATCAAAATGAAGGCTAACGCTCCAGGGTTAGAATCCCGAAAATCCGGTTTTAGACTACCCATGACTTTCCGAAACAGTAAAAAAAAAATCGCTTCCCCAAATTAATTCCATTTCAGCGGTTTTTTCGGGATCTATTGACTGGGCTATGAAACATCGAATGAACATGAGTTGGCCATCTTTCTTGTATGGTCATCTTACCCGAGTTTACTCTATTAAACAGTACACGAGTTTTCCTAAATGAGTTGCAATTAGAGCATTATCATAAACGCACGTTTAGAAACGTCTCATGTTATATGAAGAATCTTATGTCGCATGAAGAAAGAGCAACAACGATTAACATATCATCCTAATTTTACAATAAACCGTAATTTTATAATAGATATCAGATCCAACGTGCTTTTACATTGCGCTAATAATTAATGTTTCTCCCTTTTATGTAACTAAAAATTTAATTTTATGTACATTTATGTACTTACTGTGATATTTATCTTGCCACAATGTAACCCTTTACGAATCTTAAATTATTGTTGCTCGAGTCTTTATTTTTTTATGCCTACCCTTACATTACACTACCCAACAATTGTGCCGGTTTATTTATACGAAACACGTCTGAACTAGTTTGAAAAGATCAAGAAACTGGATGTATCAAAAATCCGATAAACAAATATTTGACGGCACAGCATTAAATGCTTTGATATAAACAAAAATGAAGATGGAATGAGTTTCATCCTCACGCAAGTAAATTTTTCGCGCGTCTCAGATAATTCGCACCAGACTCGCTTTTTACTAAACTCACTAAAAAATTTTAATTCCCGCGAGAAAGGGAGGAATATAAATTGCCACTGACTCTTGCAGCAAAGCGTATATAATTGTGTATTTTTCGCGATAAAACGAAATAAAATATTTGCATGTAGTGTCATAAATCGTTGCCGATCCAAACTCAAACTTTCGCGATCGACAATAATTGAATTACAATCAGCGAGTCAGAAGCATTATTCAATCTATATATTTAACCCCAATGCTCCTACTTATAATGACGAAGATAATTCGTCGAAAATAATTAAAAACGTTTGCAAATTATATTGGGTCGGGATAATTTTACATTGTTTATAATACGATGCACAAACGGCTCCTGGATCATTCTGAGAACGTTGAGTGAGCTGAATCGAAATCTACAATTTTAAATTGCAGTAACAAAATTTGAGAAAATTTACTTGCTCACTATCTTCTTGAAAAACTGGTTTTAAAACTTTTTAATGTTCATTTATATACCTCTAATTCTTAAAACTAGAAAATAGATAAAAAGAAAGTTAAATCAAGATTAAAATTGATCTATATTGGTCTTATAGAAATGAATATAAATCGATCAATCAAAAATTCTCATCAGATGAAATTTAAAGCGTTTAAATTAGAGAACAGACCTTTTCTTTTATAGTTTAATAAAAGTCGACGTCTTAATATAAAAATTATTACAAAAATTAACTACAACTTATATGCAGATCTCACATTAGAAATTGCCTTGTTACTATTGAATTGAGCGTTTATTTTTTATTCATTAATGTTTATTACTTGCATATAATTATTTAATAATAATTTTATTATCATGCATGTCGCATTTAAGATAATACATATAAAATATCACAGAGAGTTTTTCCATGTTAAAGCATATGTCGCGAAAAATAATGAAAATGATTTTTTTACGCTCCTCAGGAAGGCTGCGCGAGGAAAGTAATGATCGAGTTAGTTGAGGGAGAATCTTAAGTATACAGTCGGATCCTCTTCAGTTGAGCCTTTCGAACGGTCGGTATGTTACAGAAGTGCACCCTTGTTTTTTACTCACGTCGCGGACGAAAATGCAGAAGAGCATCGACCAGCGTTACGCAATTGAATTTTGCGTGAACCTTGGAAAAACAGCTTCTCAGAAACGTTTGAAATGCGCTGAGGACAATGTATTGGAATACCGCTTTGTCATATAGAAGGGAAGCCGTTTAGGTCTGTTCTATACATTCAGCCGTATATCGTAGTCGGATGTTGGAACGCAGCCGGCCGTTTAATAAGAGAATTTCTTTTCCGAAAACGAATTTTCCTCATTGTACCATCGGCTACGTTTCAACATTCGACTCCGACATATGTGTAGAACGACTGATTGTAGGACCGGCCTTAGGATGAACAGCGCTCTTCTGGGCGACCTTCGAAAGGCTCGGGGTTCAACTGACAATGAAAGGGTCTAACCGTATACCTCAGATTCCCTCTCAACTACCTCACTTTCTCTACGCAGCCTTTCTAGAGAACGTATAAAAATCATTTTCATTACTTTCCGGACACACTATGTATAATGCAGCACGTCATATATAATGTGTTGTAGAGTTATTCCACTATGGCAGAGTCAGATATGACTGCACAGGAATGGAAAGAGAAGGGTAACGAAGAGTTAAAAAAAAACAATTGGTCTGAAGCTTCAAGTTACTATACAAACGCACTGAAACTAGAAGAGGACAACGTTAAAAAAGCAGCGCTCTACAAATATCGAGCGGAAGCTTATTTAAAACTGGGCGATTACGAGAAAGTGATTGAAGACTGCGACAGTACGTTAAAGATATGTTGTAATAGAGTATTGCATCACAGATGTCAAGCGCTAGAAGCGTTAAAGAAATTCGAGGAGGCTAATAGAGATGCACAGATTATTATTTCATCTGATAACGAAAATATCCAATTCGAAGCAGAGCGATTATTTGAAATTGTACAAGAACATTGTAAGAGAAATTCACGTATTAGCGCCAAGGTAAATACACATAACTATTACAAAAGTTCGGCAACTTGCAAGACATGATAATTTGATCTAGATAATATAAAAATTTTAACAAATGTCTCATACTGGATATATTAGTAATAATTTCTGTTTCACTTAATACGGTATAATTTGACAAATGGATTTGAGTTTTCTCTCTTTTATTATATAATAATTAATTTTTATAGTTTAATAGTCTGCACACACTGTATGGATAAAAATTACGTAATATAAATATAATCTTTCACAGTTATTTATATGTTCATTACAAGTTATTATATTTAAGTATATGCTTAATTGTGCTTTGTGTTAGATATCACAAGTGCTAGATCCAGCATTGAATGTAAGCGTAGATATGAAAAAACGTGAAACTGCTATGAGTAATCTGCAACTGCTCACATATGAGAAAGTTAGTGCCGATGATGAGGTGATCTTCAAAGAAAATAATTTATCCAAAATCACACAACTTGTGAATATCGAAAAGGACGTATCATCACAAGGCACTGATAACATTAAACATATCGATTAAGAAAATATGTGAATATTAATAAGATGTTAATTGAAATCGAAATGTCATATTAATAGAATATTATATTTTTAAATAAATGGTAGCCTAATGTATAATATAATTAATAAATAATATAATTTTGCATTTACAAGACACCTGCCTTGGCGTTGTTTACCCATGATAAATAATATTCTAGCTTTTTCGAGCACAGTATACTCCTTCTCGACAGGCTTGCGTCGTTACAAAAATTTGCTCGCTATGTCTCTACAAAAATTTCTTTATGAATTCTTATTTGTTCTTGCAGGCTAAAATTTCTTTCTTCGCTGCTGTTAGCAATTGGTGAAACTCGGAGAGTGCCGAGGATGTAGAGACAGTTTTTATTTATAAACTTGATCCTTGCAAAATGGAAACGCCGGCTTCTCTTAACGCCGCTAAAGTTTGTTTACCTTGTGGCAACCAATCAATCTAAGTATATATTTAATAATAATATATTACAATGTATACATTTATATTAATTATATATAAGTGTACGAGCTACTAACGCTTTTTACATTCTCTATAATGGATTTAATTACCAAATCCGTTAATCCGTATTCTTCAAGATTTTATTATTCTTATGTTTCCACAGACAGTCAGAAAAACATGTGTAGCTTTTTCAGCACAGTTGAAGTAATTTCCAAAGTAGTAAAAAGTGATAAGCACAAACGTATATCACGCTCGTCACGTTAAAATGTACGCAAGGAGACGCTTCCTAAAACGAAAGTAATAATATTTAATTGCACAATTTCAATTATACTAAGTTGAGCACAAAAACTTATTATTACCAATTTGCAATTTATTAAATGACGGCGTATCAATGCAGAATATTTTATAAATTGCTGTAAGTCTCTTTAGTGTCCTCTTCAACGGGTCGAATAAATTTTCTCTCCACACAGCAAGTCCACCACGGCACCTACTTGGGCAATTTTTACGTTTCTTTATTTTTATTAGCGCTTCAAATTCTTGCCTCTTTGCTTTGGATAAGATTCACCAGAGCTCATTCTGATTTCCAAGTTACGCTGAAAGATAATACGTTCGTAAGAACGAGCATTCATCAAATCACAAATCTCTGAAACGTCGGTTCTTAATTATTTTATCAGACTCGTCGTCTGATTTAATGAATAATCTTTACCTTGCTGGTGCATCTCTCGACTAAATTATCTTCTAAGATGTCATCCTCATTAATTGAACAGAGGAAAAATTGTACAGAGAGGCTATTGTAGTTGTAAAATGTGCATGAAACTATAGTAAATATTACAGTAATTACTATAATTTTGCGTGCTTTTTTCGCAACTACAGTAGTTTTTTCTATAAGGGAATATGTTCAGGTCCATAAAATTTTTTATTATTTTTTGCTTAGCGACCGCAGCGTTCTTCTGAGAAGCTCCTTCTCGACGCACTACCTCTAAAATCTCTCGGGCCTCTCGGAGCGATCCCTGTGCGCGTCTGACTTGTAACACTCGGCCCCGCAATAGCCTAGGCCACATCGCAAACAGGTATACAGGTTCTTGTTATGCACCTGTTATGAGAATAGAAACTCATCCGATTTAAAAGAATAATTTCTAAAAAAAGTCACGTGACGAACAGCGTCATGTCTCATTGGTTACGCCAGTCACATGTGAAAAGCCAATCAGAATACAATTCTTTTGCAGCGAGACGACGCACTGCGCACTTTTCGGATAATGCTTGCTAGTTTAAATTAATCGTTGAAAAGCGCTAGAGGATTATAGACAATTGTGGAGCGATTAGAAGAAGTTCGAGCGGCACCAGAGAACATTACCAGGAGGAAGCTCTTCGACAGGTAAATGATCTAAATTTTGTTTTGTTTCGCCGACGATCTGAATGAAGGTTTATCGCGTGAAGCGTGATCCATTTCGATTATTCTAAAAAACATAAGATTATTACGTTTCGCCCGAAAATATTTTGACGTCGAGGAAAAATGTTTCACCTCTTTCAAACGTTCTATCGCGCTATTTTTTAATATATTCAAGTGAAAGGGTAAAACCAAACAAGCCAGTAGTTTCATTGTAGGGATCCGAAACAATACACGAGGCACGAGGTTTTCTGAGTAAGTTGCGATTAGCTCATTAAAATAAACGCAGGTTTAGATACATCTCACGAAGAATATCATGTTGCATGAAGAAATACCAGTGGCGAATGGCATACAGCACTCTAATTTCATAATTAACCGTAATTTTGTAGTGAATTTTAGATCCAACGTACTTATATGATGCGCTAATAAAGTTCCTCTTTTTATGTAACTGAAAAATTAATTTTGTGTACCGTTCGATATTTATCTTATCGAAATGTGACCTATCACAAATCTAAAATCATTGTTGCTTGAGTCTTTATTGTTATGCTATCCATATGCCACCGGCCTATGTGTCGGTCTGTTTATACGAAACACGTCTGAACTAGTTTGAAAAGATCAAGGAACTGGATGTATCAAAATTCCGACAAACAAATATTTGACGTCACGTTAAATGCCCTGATATAAACAAAAATGTCGATGGCACAAGATTCATCTTCACAAAAGTAAATGTTTCGCGCATCTCAGATAATTCGCGAGCAGACTCGCTTTTTATTAAAGAATTTTAATTCCCGCGTGAAAAGGAGGAATATAAATTGCCACTGACTCTTACAGCAAAGCGTATATAATTGTGTATTTCTCGCTATAAAACGAAATAAAATATTTGCATGTAGTGTCATAAATCGCCGCCAATCTAAACTCGAAGTTTCGCGATCGACAATAATTGAATTACAATCGGCGGGTTGGGCGGAAAGTACTATTGAGTTTATAATTTAACCCCGATATTCCTATTTATTTTGAAGATGGCTTATCGAAAATAAACCTGTTTTACGATATGTTAATGAAAGCACTCTAATATAAAAATTATAACTATTACAATTTACATGCAGATCTTACATTAGAAATTGCATTGTTATTATTGAACTGCAGGTTTATTTTCAATCCATTAATGTCTTATACTTGCTTATGACTATTTAGCTATAATTTCATCATCTATGCTTTTCGCATTTAAGATAGTACATGTAACATATCACAGACAGTTTTTCCATGTTAAAATATACGTATACTTACATATAATGCAACATATTCTATATTTTGTGTTGTAGCGTTATTCCATCAGAGTCAGATATGACTGCACAGGAGTGGAAAAAGAAGGGCGATGAAGATTTTAATCACGAAAATTGGTCTGAAGCCTTAAGTCACTACACAAACGCAATTAAACTAGTAACAGAGGACAATGCTGAGAAGGCAGTATATTACAAATTTCGAGCCGCCACTTATTTAAATATATGCGATTACGACAGAGCGATTAAAGACTGCGATAGTGTGTTAAAAATATGTTATAATGATGCAGAGGCACTGTATCGCAAATGTCAAGCACTAAAAGCAGTAGGGAGATTCGAGGAGGCACTTCGGAACGCGGAGATTATTATTTCATCTATGCCCGATAACAAAATTGTTCAATCCGTAATGTCGCAATTACTTAAAATTCTACAAGAATGTCGGGAAAATGCAAGAATTAGTACCGAGGTAAATATACATAAATATTAAAAAAGTTTATTAACTCACAAGATATGATAATTTTGTCTAGATAATACAAAAATTATAACACATTTTTTTATACTGAATATATTACTAAGAGTTTTTGTTACATTTAATTTGACAAACAAATTTAAGTTTTGTTCTTCTTATTATAAAATTTTTATCGGGTGATAGTCTACACACCCTGTACATATATAAATTAAGTCATATATAAATATAATCTTTCACAGTTATCTATATTTTTATTACATATCATTATATTCAAATATATGTTTAATTTTACTTTATACTATAGGTATCAGAAATGATGGATTTAGCATTTAACATGAGAGCAGATAACCAGAAACGTGAAAACGCTATGAATAATCTGTTTGTGCTCGCACGTGGGAATGCTGGTGCCGAAGAGATCCTTAAGAAGGAAGGTGTACACAAACTTGCACAACTTGTAAAAGCTGAAGAGAACGAGAAAGTGACTTGTACCGCGATTCGTATTGTAGGAACATTATGCAAAAATAATATTAGTCGAACCGAGTTCGTTGTGAAATATGTCGGTTTGCTTTGGTGTCTGGAAATGATAAACTGTACGTCTATAAGAAGAGTTAACGCGTCTCAATACTGTTTACAGGTAAATATTATCGAGTGAAATACGTGTAGTTACGTATATCATGTACGTATTTCAGTAATTAAAAGTTTATTGCATATTTCGGTTTCAGAATATATTAAACACTTACAGCGGCATGACTAATAATCCCGATTCAAAACTTGACAAGGCTTTATGCAAGAAGTATAAAAAAGAAATTTTCATGATTCTGTCGTTCTTGTTGAATAGTATAACGAGTAGAACGATATCAGGTCTTGCTAGAGACGCATTAATAGGACTTATTACGCGCAACATTCATTATACCGCGTTAAACTGGGCAAAACGATTAGTCGACCTTGGCGGCTTGCAAAGATTAATGGAGATGGCCAGTGAAACGATGAAATATGAATGCGAATCCTCGATGGACATCACGTCTTCCACGCGAACTATAATCAGTGTGTGTTTAACAAAAATATATGAAAACATGTGGTGTGAAGATGATAAGAGAAAATTTGTCGACGCCATTGCGGAATTTATTGAAGATAAATTGCGTTCGTCTGACATAGACTCTAATAAAGTATGAATTTTGTAACTTCCGATCTTTTTTAATTATTTAAATTGTTTCAAAATAAAAGGCCAAGTATCTTTTAACTGTAGCTTATTTGAGTAATTTGAACTCTATTTTTAAAGCAAATATGTCAAAGAAGATTTCTTTTTCAATTGTCCATATTGTATATTCTGCAAGTTTTATATATTAAGATACAATTATAACAGAATTTAATCGAAGTTTATTGAAGAATATAACTGTACCATCTACTATATTTTCTAAAGCTTAATTTACTCTTAATTAAAGATTTATCCTATTTTCAATTCGAGTTAAATGACAGCAGGTGCCTTAATTTTTTAAAACAATTAATTATTGAAAAACGAAACGTATAAATCTATAAATTGTTAATTGATTGTTTTACAGGTGCGCATAGTACTTGCGATAACAACCTTGATATTCGGCTCGTTAGATGATGTTGTGGACGTAATTATTTTTAAAAGACTGATTTCTGATATGATGTTACTAATGTCAAAAACGAATGACCTGTTGCAACAGAAAGTAGTTTGCGAATGTATCGTCGCCGCTATAATCAAATATAATACGGCTAACGTGTTTATATGTCGAAATATAAATACATTAGAGAATCTGTATCAATCTAAGGATGATTCAATTCGAGTTCAAGCGTTAGTGGGTTTGTGCAAATTGAGTAGATTTGATGACAGCTTTTTACGCAATAGTGCGACCATCGATCCATTCACCGATAAAGCGACGAAGAAATTAACCAAGATTTGCAGACAATTATTGATCAATCCCAAGAAAGAGGATGATACGATATGGGCCATTAAAGGCCTATCGTATCTTACTTTCGACGCCGAGATCAAGGAGAAGTTCATCGAGGATCAACGTTCGTTCAAGCGCGTCGTTCAAGTGATGAACGAACTCGCCAAGACTGGCGATCAATCAGTACTCTACGCCGTGGCCACGACGTTGGTGAACTTGTGCAACGCTTATGACGATCAGGAACTCATACCCGAGATGAAAGAATTGCTAATGTTCAGCTCGTATCACCATTTTTTCGCGCGAAGTCAGAAACTGAACCACGACGAATTTGTGACTAAAAGACGGTGCACGTTAGCGAAGGCCGATGTAACCAGCACTCTGGTAAGTCTCGCTAAAACGGACAGCCAGAACTGCAAAGAATTAGTAGCCCGCGTTTTCCACGCGATATGCAGTCAACAGGAGTTGAGAGAAATAATTGTTCAACAAGGTGGCACGGAGGCACTATTGTCGTTAGCACTGAGTGGCACAGACAAGGGAAAAAAACATGCTTCGCGAGCCCTGGTCTATCTAGGACTCAGGAGACATCCCGAGGTTGCGTTTTCCGGTCAGATAATCATGGAGGTTGTACGGCCGATGGTAAATCTTCTGAACCCGGAGTGTTCCGTGTATGAGAATAGTGAGACTCTAACAGCTTTGCGCAATCTAGCTAGTGTCAATGACCACACGCGACAACGTATATTCAACGAGGCAGGATTTCCGAAAATCGCTGACTATATAAATTCAAAGCATTACATATTGAAACTCAGGTCCGCGCAACTTCTAGACAATTTGACATTATGCCGTGAAGTTGCTATTCGATGTTACAAGCAGGACAATTCTGATGTTATATCTCTTGTGTCCGAAACATTGTACGCGGACGAAAATAAAAATATGTATAAGGTAAATGCTGGAGTTCTAACGAGGGTCACGGCGATCAGCAAATCAACTTGCGAGAACATTCTCAACACGGATCCCACGCTAAAAGAACTAAGCAATTTCCTCGCTAATTCAGACGGTGAGTTACAATGTAGGGGTATTAAAATTTTGCTAAATATAATGAGAAACTCGAAAGATGCTGCTGCAAAAATCATCGAAACAGACGTAATGAAATCACTGAGGGCATTGAGCAAAAACGATAACGCGCAAAACAAGGAGGTTAAGGAATTAGCATCCCTTGCTTTAGAGATTGTTGCGGAATGGGTAACTAATCAAGAGAAACGTAGCAAAGGATATGAATCGTCACAAAGCATTGATAATAAAGAATACATCGATTAAGAAAATCATATGTAAATGTTAATTGCGACCTGTGTCATTTTAATAGATGTCATGTTAATATCATATAAATGTCATATTAATAGAATATTATTTCTTCTTTAATAAATGAGAGCACAATGTGTATAGTACAATTAAGAAATAATGAAACTTTGCATTTACTAGACCTTGCACTTTTTACCCGCAATAAATAATATTCTAGCTTCTTCAAGTACAGAAGTACACTCTTTCTTGATAGGCTTGGGTCGTCGCTATGTCTCTGCAAAAATCTCTTTCTGAATTCTTGATTGCCGCTCTCGCAGGTTAAAATTTCTTTGTTCGCTGCTGCCAGCAATCGGTGAAGCTCGGAGAGTGCCGCGGATGTACAGACCGTATAGACGTTTTCATTTCAGCGCCTAATTCTTGCAAAATGGCAACTAATGAACCTAAGTATATATTTAACAATAATATATATTATAATTTATACATTTATATTCTTATATAAATCTCTAGTAAAGAGCGATTTACACGTAAGCGCCCGCGTATGTTTGCCACACGTTAAAGTGTACGCAAGCGGAAGCTTTTCAAACGCAAATAATAATCAAACAAAAGAAATGGTTCAATTCGACCCATTTATCAATTCGACAGGCCATTTATTAATAATATTTAAATACACAACGTTTATTCTCCTCACGGTCAAAAAATTATTAATTTATTATGATTGGTCAATTTTCTTACGGTTCTTACGGTTACGACTAAAAATTTGTTATGTGGCTTTTACAGGCGTACGAAACAACTTGGAGTAATTTATAATGTGTAATATTAATTTTATAATTTATTATATATGTAGTACAAGAAAAGCAGGTTCTAATGATATTTGAGAAAATTAACGGACTGATTTTTAGAAAATATATTGGTAGAATTTTACTGCAAAATTTGACTAGAATTGTAAATTGTTTAAAATAGAAATCTCAGTTTACGACGTCGCAAAAATGTGGCTTGAATCCGCTCAGATTCGTGCGCAGGAAATACAAAATCTACCGGCTCCAAAATTGTATGCAGTTATAGTAGAGCTTTAAATTATTTTCATTAATAATACATGACATAAATACTTATAATAAATTACTGATAATAAAAATAATAATAATAAATTACTTATAATAAAAATATAGTATTTCTGATAATAAAATAACGTAATTTTGGTAATAATATATATATTGTGAATATATCTCAAAGCCGACTATATTATCTGTTATTTGGACTATTATCTATAATTTAAAAGTTTTAGAAAATAGAAACAATTTAGACGATTTAAAAAAGAAAAATTTCTTTTACTATTATATTGTTACAAAGTACGCGAGATTAGGCATGATAGCTTGATGCGCTTATTGGATATAACAAAATGACGGCCTTTCGCTTGCCTGCCACCGCCGCTGTCCAAATATTACAAAAAATACGATCGATTAAAAATTGTTAGCTTATAGCCGCAATATCGTCTCGTTCCGCATTCTGCGAAAAATCAATCTATGACCTTTCACGTGGCCGAGAGCGCGCGCGCTTTCGAAAATCACGTGACGCACGCCTCATTATAGTCGGTCACGTAGCTAGGAAAAGCCAATCAGGATGAAATTCTATCGCAGGAAGACAGCGCTCGGTACTCTTTTCGGATAATATTCGCTGGTTTAAGTTAGTCCTTGAAAAGTGCTAAAATCGTAAACAATCGTGGGGCGAGAAGAAGAAGTTTGAAGGTGCGATACGAGCGAACATTACAAAGAGAAAACTATTCGACAGGTAAAGGTTCTACATTTTGTTCTGTTTTGCTGCGACGATCAGAATAAAAGCTTGCCGCGTGTGACGTGATCCAATTCGACATAATATAAGTATTCGTAGAAACGTAAGATTATTACTTTTTGCTCGAAAATACTTTCACATATCGTCGAAACAAGTAATGCAAAAGCTATTGTATAACGTGTTTAAGTGAAACGGTGAGGCCAAACGAGCCAGTAGTTCCACTATAGGATTGTTAAACTACATACGAGGCACGAGGCACGAGGCACAAAGTTGAGTAAGTTGCGATTAGCGCATTAACTAGCTTAAACGCACATTTTTAGATGCATCTCACGACGAATCTTATGTTGCATTGTAGAAAAAAGCGACAAATGCCATGGCACTTTAATTTTATATAATAAGTCGTAATTTTAAAATTGATAGAACGTACTTTAACGATGCGATAATAATAAAGTTTCCCTTTTTATGTAATTGAAAAATTAAATTTTGTGAACTGTGATATTTATCTTATCGAAATGTGACCACTCACAAATTTAAAAACACTGCGCTCGAGTCTTTATTTTCTTATAATATATATATTCTTACATTACCGGCAATTGTGCCGGTCTATTTACACGAAACACATCCGAACTGATTTGAAAAGACCAACAAACTAGATGTGTAAAAAAACTGATAAAGAAAAACGTTGAGATTCAATATCACGCAAATAAATTCCTCGCGCGTCTCAGATAATTTGCACACTTTTCCCAGACAAGTGTAAATTGCGCCAGATTTTTGCAGCAAAGCGAACATAATTGCATTTTTTGCAATAAAACAAAATAAAATATTTTAATGTAGTGTCATAAATTGTTGCCGATCCAAACTCGAACTCTCCCTTTCGCGATCGACAATAAATAATTGATTTAAAGTCAGCGGGTTGGAAGTATACTCTATGCCTTTCGCATTTAAGATAATAAGTATAAAATATCACGAGATTTTTCCCACGTTAAAACATATATATAATGCATCATATATTTTGTGTTGTGGAGATATTCCACCATGGCAGAGTCAAATATGACTGCACAAGAATGGAAAGAGAAGGGTAACGAAGAGTTTAACAAAGGCAATTGGTCAGAAGCATTGAGTGACTACACAAACGCACTGAACCTAGTAGAGAACAACGCTGAGAAAACGGTGTACTACAAAAATCGAGCTGCTGCTTATTTAAAGCTGAACGATTACGAGAATGCTCTTGAAGACTGCGACAGCGCGTTAAAGATATGTTGTAATAAAGCATTGTATCGCAGATGTCAAGCACTAGAAGCGTTAGAGAGATTCGAGGAGGCACATTGGTACGCGGAGATTATTATTTCATCTGACCCCAATAACAAAGTTATTCAACCAGTAAAGGAGCGCTTACATAAAATTGTACAAGGTTGTCGTAAGGACCCACATCTTAGTGCCACGGTAAATATACATAACTATTACAAAGGTTCATCAACTTGCAAGACATGATATTTGGTCATGTAAAAGATAATGTAAAAATTATCACACATTTCTCTCATACTGCATATATTAGTTCGCATATAAAAGAATTTTTGTTTTACTATTAGATACCAAACGTAATTTGAAAAATTAAATTATGTTTGTTTTTTTAATTATATAATTATTAATTTCTCTCGGGATAATAGTTATACTATATAGATAGAAATTACCTGATACAAATATTATTTTTCACAGATATTTACATTTTTATTACACATTATTACGTTTAAAAATACGCTTATTTCTGCATTTTATTAGATATCAAAAATGATGGATTCTGCATTTAACGATTGCGCGGATAAGGAGGAATATGAATATGCTATGAGTATTCTGTTTGTGTACGCATGTGACGAAGCTGGTGCCGAGGAGATCTTCAAGAACGAAGGTGTATCAAAACTCGCACAACTTATAAAAGTTGAAGAGAACGAGAAAGCGATGTACGCGATTTGTATTTTAGGCAAGTTATGCAAAAACAATATTAATCGAACCGAGTCCGTTGTGAAATATATTGGTTTGCTTCGGTGTCTGGAAATGATGAACAGCCCATGTACAGATAGAGTCAACGAGTCCCAAATTTGTTTACAGGTAAATATTATTGACTAGAATGTAGTTAGTATACACGTATTTTAGTAATTAATTTATTGTATAATTTGATTTCAGAATATATTGAATACTTACAGCGGCATGAACGACGAACCCGATTCAAAACCCAACAAGACTTTGTGCGAAATACATAAGAATGAATTTGATATGATTTTGTCATACTTATTGAATAATATAGCGAATAGAACGATAACAGGCCTTACTAGAGATGCAATAATAGAACTTATTATGTGTAACATTCATCATACCGAGTTAGGGTGGGCCAAACAATTGATCAAGTTTCGTGGTTTGCAAAAATTAATGGAGGTAGCCAGTGAAATGGAAGGATACAAATACAAAGAATCCTCGATAAACATCACGTCTTCCACGCGAATTAAAACCAGTATGTGTTTAACAAAAATATATGAAAACATGTACTATGATGCTGCTAAGAAAGAATTTATCGACGCCATTGAGAAATTTATTAAGGATAAATTGCTTACATCTGACTCAGAATCCAAAGTATGAATTTCGTAACTTCTGATCTTTTCTAATTGTTTTAAAATAAAGGGTCGACTATTCCTTTAACCATAGCATACTTGAGAAATTTAAACTATTTTAAAAGCAAAAATGCCAAAGAAAAATTTTTTTTTTATTTGTCGATATCGTACATTCTGTAAGTTTTAATATAAAATACGATTATAAGAGTTTGATCAAAATTTATTGAAGAAATATGACTTTGCCATCCAAGAAAATTAAATAACACTGTAGCTGCCTTGATTTCCTTTTAATCAAATATTGTTTTACGTAAAAATTTGTAAATTGTTAATTTGTTGTTTTACAGGTGCGTGGAGTGGTTGCGATAACAACCTTAATGTTCGGTCCGTTAGACGTTGTATACGCAATTATGATTAAAAGAGGGGTGCTTGAGATGATCGTTGCTATGTCGGAAGCAAATGACGTGTTTCAAAAAAAAGTGGTTTGTGAATGTGTCATCGTCGCAATGACCAAATTTAAACAGACCAACGTGTTTATATGTCGATGTGTACGTATATTGGAGAACCTGTATACATTCTCTACGTATACGTATACAGGTATGTATGATTCAATACGAGTTCGAGCGTTAGTGGGTCTGTGCATAATAAGCAAGTTTGAAAAAAGCATTTTAAGCAGTTACACGACTATTGAACCGTTCGCGCAGCTCGCGGATGGAACGATAAAGAAATTGACCAAGGTTTGCGCACAATTCTTGATTAATCCCAAAAAAGAAGAAGATATGAGAAAATGGGCCATTAAGGGCCTGAGGTATCTCACTATCATCTTCGAGGTCAAAGAGAAGTTGATCAAAGATCGACAACAAGCCGCAGTAAAAGCAATTATTGAGCTAACCGAGACTAAGGATCAATCGGTACTCTATGACGTGACTATTATGTTGGCAAACTTGTGTTGCGCTTATGACGATAATGAACTTATACCCGAGATGATAGAATCGGTAATGTTTATCAAATATTATTTTTCCGGGAGAGATCAGCCTAAAAAGGACGACTTTATGAAAATAAGTCGGCGCGCGTTAGTGGAGGTCGGTGTGACTAGCGCTCTGGTGAGACTCGCTAAAACAGACAATCAAAACTGCAGGGAATTGGTAGCCCGCGTTTTCCATGCGATATGCAGTCAACAGGAGTTGAGAGAAATAGTTGTTCAACAAGGCGGCGCGAAGGCATTATTGTCATTAGTGCTGAGTAGCACAGACAAGGGAAAGAACCATGCTTCGCGAGCCCTGGTCCATCTAGCACACACGATACCTCCTGCATTTCCTGATCAGATAATCAAGGAGATTGTTTGGACAATCATAAATCTCCTGAATTCGGAGTGTTCCGTAAATGAGAGATGCGAGGCTCTAACAGCTTTGTGCAATCTAGCTAGCGTCAACAACAGCATGCGAGAACATATATTCATCGAGATAGGATTTGAAAAATTCGAGGACTATATGCGTGACGATAACAACATGCTGAAACGAAAGGCCGCACAACTCATAAACAATTTGGTATTATGCCCTGGAGTTGCTGTCCAATACTGCGAGCAGAGATCTTATCAAGTTGGGTATCTTACATTATTGTTCGAGGACAAAGATAAAGATATAGATACTATTAAGGCATTGGCTGGAACAATAGCCATGCTGACAGCGGTCAGCAAAGAGGCTTGCGACGAAATAATCTATTCGGATCCTTTGCTAAAATTCCTATACAACTTACTCACTAATCCAGACGGAGACTTACAGCATAAAGGTACTGAAATTGCGTTAAATATGATGAGAAGTACAAAAGACCTCGATGCAAAACTCATCAAAACAAACATAATAAGACCACTGACGGCATTGTCCGAGAACGATACCGTACCAGACAATAAGATCAAGGAATTAGCACGTACTGCTTTACTGGTTGCTGCGCATATAGTCGACATCGAGACAAACGACAAAAGTGATAAAGCGTCACAAAACATTGATAGTTTAGAACATGTCGATTAAGAAAATTATATATATAAATGTTAATTGGGATCTTAATGTCATATTAATAGAATTATTTTTTATTTTAATAAATGACAGCATAATGTACAGTATAATTAATAAATAATGTAATTCTGCATTCTCAAGACTTTTGACCCAACGCTTTTTGTCCACGATAAATAACATTCTAGCTGCATTAAGTACACTCTTTCTCGCCAAGCTTGCGTCGTTTCGCAATGTCTCTGCGAAAATCTATTTGTGAATTTTTAATTGCCGCTTTTGCAGGTTAAAATTTTTTCTTCGCTGCTGCCAGCAATCGATGGAGCTCGGAAAGTGCCGCAGACGTACAGACGGTTTTCATCTCGACGCCCGATTCTTGCGAAGTGGAAACGCGCGGCTAATGTTGACGCCGATAAAGTTTGTTTATCTTGTGGCAACCAATTAATCTACATATATATTTAATAATAATATATTATAATGTTTACATTTAAATTCATATACAGGTGTACGAGCTACTCACTTTTACATATTTTATAACGGATTCTATTGCCGCGTCTGCCTCTTTGACAATTTCATTGTTTCTCATGTTCTCACAGATAGTTACAAAAACACGGGCAGTTTCAAATAATATCCAATTTAGTATAAAGAATGATCTGTATGACGTAAGCGCGTATATTACGTTATAGGGTACGTAAAGGGACGCAAACAATAAGTTCCTAAACGCAAATAATAAGTTTAGTTGCACAATTATAATTATACCATTTTGAGCATATGAATTTATTATCACCAACCTGCAATTCGTTAAATAACGGTACGTCTATCAAAGCAGGGTGTTTTATAAATTGCTATAAATATTTTTAGGTCCTCTTCAACGGACTAAAATAATTTTTTTTTCGGCATGTCCATCACGGCATTAACTTGGGTATTAACCTTTCCGTTTCTCTATTTTTATCAGTAGCTCAAATTCTTGTATCTCTCCTTCGAATAAGGCTGACCAGAGTTCATTCGAATCTTCGAAACTGACGTTCAGCAATCTAATTTCCAAGTCAAGAAGCTGAAAGATATTTGTAAGGACGATCGAGCATTAATTAAGTCAAAAATTTCTAACACGTCAGTCCTTAATTTACGTCTTGCTCATCGCGGTTTGAATCTAATGGAAATTCCTCCCCGCTGATGCTTCTTTCGTCCGAATTATTTTTTTAAAATGTTATTCTCCAGATCCGCTTGCCGCACAAGCCTATGCACTCTCTTAAAAATCTCCATAATTTTTTGTTTAGCAGTCAGATCGTTCTGCTGAGATTCCAATTTTTCCTCGTTGCACTACTTGTAGAATCTCTCTTGCTATATACCTACCCTTGACGATCGCACTTGGTGCATCTAATACGAAAAGAAAACGCATGCGATTTAAAAGAACTACGTACACGCGGTTTGAAAAGAACCTCGTACGATTTCTAGAGAAAATCACGTGACGCGCAACGTTGTGCCTTATTAGTTAGGCAGGTCACGTGGTTACGAAAAACCAATCAGAATAAAATTCTATTCTAGCGAGACGACTCACGATGCTCCTATCGGATAATCCCCACGGACAATGCTTACCGTGGTTTAAGTTACTCCTTGAAAAGTCCTACTATCGTAAACAATCATAGAACAAGTACAGAAAGTTTGAGAGTGCTCGAGCGACACGAGAGAACAAAAGGAAAGTTATATCCGACAGGTAAAGGATCTACATTCTGTTCTGTTTCGTCGACGATCTAAATAAAAGCTTGCGTGTGACGTGATCAAATTCGACCTAATAAAAAGATATTCTTAACAAACGTGAGATTATTACTTTTTACCTGAAAATATCTCAACGAATCGTCGAAACAAGTAGGGCGTAATGTTTCATCTCCGCTTGCACGCTATTGTACGACTTACTCAAGTGAAACGGTTAAACCATACGAGTCAGTAATTTCATTGTAGGGACAGTACACGAGTTCACCTAATTGAGTTGCAATTAGAGCATTAACATAAACGCGTGGTTAGAAACATCTCATGTTATAAGAAGAATCTCTTGTTGCATAAAGAAACAACAACGACAAATAACATAGCATCTATATTTTATAATAAATCATAATTTCATAATAGATTCCAGATCCAACGTACTTTTACGATGCGATAATAATATTTACCTCCTTTATAAAACTGAAAAATTAACTTTCGTGTAATATTATCTCGTCGACTTTGACTTACGAATCTAAAATTTTTGTTGCTCGAGACTTTATTTTCTTATGCTTACCCTTACGCCGCCGGTCTGTTTATATGAAACATGTAACAAACTGGTTTTAAAAAATCAAAGAAAACTGGATGTATAAAAAAAAACAAAAAAACAAATACTCTATTGACGGCACGTTAAATGCTCTCATATTTGCACGTAATTATTTAGAAATAATTTTATTCTCTATATATTTCGCAATTAAGATAATACATATAAAACATTACAGAAAGTCTTTCCATGTTAAAACATATAACGGATCATGTATTTTGTGTTGTAGAGATATTTCACCATGGCAGAGTCAGATTTGACTGCACAGGAATGGAAAGAGAAGGTAATGAAAAGTTTAACATAGACGATCAAAAGCATTGAGTAACTACACGAACGCACTAAAATTACTAAAAGAATAAGGCAACTTTGAGAAAAGAGTGTTCTACAGAAATCGAGCTGCAGCTTATTTAAGGGGCTTCCCTAGTGTGACAGAGCCTAAAATGAATGATTTTTAAAAGGAAAGCGACAAAGCCAATTGATGAACAACTTTTCCCACATATTTTACTATATTTCAAGAGTGCATACAAATTTTTTCAAAATTTTATATCTGTTATTAAGCCCGTGCCAGCCATTTTTTTTGGAGCGCCGCGAAAAAACGGTGACCACGATTGCAGCCGTTGTAGTTATCTGAAACAAAAAAGCAAAAAGATTCTTAATCTACTTAAGTGTGGCTATCGTCTGAACTAGAATAATGAAAAAATATTGAAAATTTAAAAAATTATAGCGATTATAAAATTATTTTCAATAATTCAATAATTCAATAATCGCTATAATTTTTTAAATTTTTAATATTTTTTCATAATTCTAGTTCAGACGATAGCCACACACAAGTAGATTAAGAATTCTTTTGTTTTTTTTGTTTCAGATAACTACAACGGCTGCAATCGTGGTCACCGTTTTTTCGCGGCGCTCCAAAAAAATGGCTGGCACGGGCTTTAATAACAAATATAAAATTTTGAAAAAATTTGTATGCACTCTTGAAATATAGTAAAATATGTAGGAAAAGTTGTTCATCAATTGGCTTTGTTATTTTTTTTTTTTTAAATCATTCATTTTTAGGCCCCGTCACACTAGGGAAATTCCTTAAAGCTGGGCGATTACAAAACAGCTATTAAAGACTGCAACACTTCATTAAAAATATGTTGTAATAATTGTATCGCGGATGTCAAACGCTATTAGGAGCGTTAAAGAGATTCGAGGTGTACTGGATATATTAATAAAAGTTTTTATTTCTCAAAATATTACACATGATTTGACAAATTGATTTAAGTTTGTTATTTTTATTATATAATTATTAATTGCTATTTGATTAATAGCATACTCGCTATCTAGATAGAAGTTACATAATACAAATATTATCGTTTACCGTTAGTACATTTTTATTACACATTATTATGTTTAAGAATACGCTTATTTTTACTTTGTATTAGATATCGCAAATGCTCGATTTAGTATTTAACGTGAGCGCAGAAAAGGAGAAACGTGAAACCGCTATGACCGATCTACTTGTGCTCGTACGTGACGAAGCTAGTGCCAAGGAGATATTCCAAAAAGAAGCTGTATCAAAAATCGCAGAACTTATAAAAGTTGAAAAGAATGAAGAAGCGAACTGTAGCGCGATTCGTATTGTGGGCGAGTTATGCAAGAACAATATTAAACAAACCGAGTCCATTATGAGATATGTCGGTTTGCTTTGGTGTCTGGAAATCATGAACAGCACATCTCCAAAGATAGTCAACGCGTCTGAATATTGTTTACAGGTTGATATTATCAAACAAATAAATAATACGTACATTTATACATATTTACACATATTTTAGTAATTAAAATATTATTGTATATTTTGGTTTCAGAACATATTGAACACTTACAGCGGCATGAATAATGAACGCGATTCAAAACCCGATAAGACTTTGTGCGAAACACATAAGAATGAACTTGATACGATTCTGTCATGCTTATTGAATAGCGTAACGAATAAAACAATAACTAGACTTGCTAGAGACGCAATAATAGAATTTATTACGCGTAACATTCATACTGCATTAAACTGGGCTGAACAATTGGTCGAGCTTCGCGGTTTGCAAAAATTATTGGAGATAGCCAGTCAATTGGAGAAATACGAATCCTTGTTTGACATAACGTCTTCCACGCGAACTATAATCAGTATGTGCTTAGCAAAGATATATGAAAACATGTACTGTAATGGTGATAAGAGGATATTTATCAATGCCATTAAAGAATTTATTGATGATAAATTGCTTAAATCTGACACAGAATCCAAAGTATGAATTTTGTAACTTTGATTTTTTTCTAATTATTTAAATTATTTTAAAATAAAGGCTCCATTATCTCTTTAACCATAGCATTATGCTTGAGAAATTTAAACTCTATATTTTTAAAACAGAAATGTGTCAAAAAAGATTTCTCTTTCAATTGTCGATGATGTATATTATTCTGTATATAATATAAATTAAAATACGATTATAACAGTCAAAATTTATTGAAATATAATATATGACTTTGGCATCTATCTTATTTTCTGAAGCATAATTTACTAAATATTTCTCTTATTTTCCATCAAAATTGAGTAACATTGTAGCTGCCTTGATTTCTTTTTAATCAAATATTGTTTTACGTAAAAATTTATAAATTGTAAATTAATTCTTTTACAGGTGGGCATAGTAGTGGCGATAACAACCTTAATATTCGGTCCGTTAGATGTTGTGGGAGCAGTTATCTTTAAGCAAGGGATTTTTCAGATAATCCTTCGTATGTCAAAAACGGATGACGTGTTGCAACAAAAAGTGGCTTGCGAGTGTATCGTTGCTGCTATGACCAAATATAAAAAGGCCAACTGGTTCATATGTCAATGTATAAATATATTGGAGAACCTGTATCAATCTAAGGATGACTCAATACGGGTTCGAGCGTTAATTGGTCTATGCAAGATAAGCAAATTTGAAAAAAGCATTTTACGCCGTTACACGACTATCGAACCGTTCGCAGATGGAGCGACGAAGAAATTGGCCGAGATTTGCAGAAGATTCTTGATTAATCCCAAAAAAAAAAAGATATGAGAAAATGGGCCGTTGATGGCCTGTCGTATCTCACTATTATCGTCGATGTCAAAAAAGAGTTGATCAAAGACCGACAAGCCGTTAAAGCGATGATCGAGCTCGCCGAGACTAACGATCAATCGGTTATCTTCGGCCTGATCATTATATTGGTGAACTTGTGCGGCATTTATGATGTGAAATCTGAGGAAGATCTCATACCCGAGTTGATAGAACTTATAATGTTTACCAAACATTATTTTCTCAGCAGAGAACCTCAGCTCATCTTAAATGATGACGAATCCCATAAAAATAGACAGCGCGCGTTAGTGGAAGTTGGTGTGATCAGCGCTCTGGTGAGATTAGCCAAAACAGACAACCAGAACTGCAGGCAATTGATTGCTCTCGTTTTCTCCGTGATATGCGCTCAAGAGAAATTGAGAAAAATAGTTGTTGAACAAGGCGACGTGAAAGCATTGTTGTCGTTAGCGCTGAATGGCACAGACAAGGGAAAGAAATCCGCTTCGCGAGCCTTGATGCATCTAGCACTCACAATAGATCTTGAGGTTGCATTTCCCGGTCAGATAATGATAAAGGTTGTTCAGCCGATCATAAATCTCCTGAATTCGAAGTTTTTCGAAAATATCAGATGCGAAGCTTTAACAGCTTTGTGCAATCTAGCTAGCGTCAACAACAGCATGCGAGAACATATATTCAAGGCAGCAGGATTTGAGAAAATCGAGGACTATATGCATGACGATAACGACAAGTTGAAACGAAAGGCCGCACAACTCATAAACAATTTGGTTTTATGCCATGAAGTTGCTATCCAATATTGCGAGCCGACACCTTATCGAGTTGGGTATCTTACATTATTATTCGAGGACAAGGATGAAGATACTGTTAAGGCAGTGGTTGGAACAGTGGCGATACTGACGATGGTCAGCAAAAAGGCTTGCAAAGAAATAATTTATTCGGATTACTCGCTAAAATTCCTACACAACTTAAGAAACATCCTCTCTAATCCAAACGATGATATACAACTTAAGGGGATCCTAAAGTGAAGGCTGAACTTCCTCGACGTCGATAATGTCAACATTTCTAATTCTGTTTTCTTGTCATATATCTATATCTGTCCTTGTCTAACGAGAGGCATCTGTCTTTGTTCGATTACTGCGCCATCTTTTGCCACACGCAATATTGCTTATCCTGTCAACCTGAATGTGCTTTTGCACATATAAAAGTTATATAAAGTAATCTTTTTTTCTAGGTTTTCAATCTTAGATCTAATTGCACGATATTGTTCTTAAATGTTGTCCCTAGGTCATGCCGGTCTAATTTTGTGGATATTTATCGTGGAATTTTTGTACAAAGCAAATATTGTCGTCACGTATACCAAAAATTAACAAAAATATTAATTTTTTTTCGTTTTCGATATAAATTTGACCACCATGACCTAGATTTTGATGCGTACTTTAATTCTAAACAAGAATTTTGCATTTCTATAAAGTCAATTAAAAAATTAGTGCTAAGAAAAAAAGCCGGTATTACAGACGGCTTTAGGATCCTCTTAAGGGTTACTATACCGAAATTGCGTTAAATCTGATGAATTGTTCGAAAGACGTCGTTGCAAACGACGATACCATACTAAACGAGGAGTTCGAGGAATTAGCATCCCTTGCTTTAAAGGCTGCTGCGGAATGGGATGACGAAATCTACGGAAATTTCGAAGGAAACGAATCGGCACAAAGCACTGATGGTAATATGGAACATGTCGATTAAGAGAATTATATGTGAATGTTAATTGAAATCCAAATGTCATATCAATAAAATATTATTTATTATTGTAATAAATGATAGTACAGTGTACAGTATAATTTTAATAAATAATAAAACTTTGCATTTACAAGACATTTGCTTCAACGCTTTTTGCTCAATAATATTTTTACTTCTTCAAGCACTAAAGTATATTCTTTCTCGACAAGCCCGCATCGTTTCGCTATATCTCGGCGAAAATCTATGAATTCTTGATTTCAGTTTTTGCAGGTTAAAATTTTTTTCTTCGCTGCTGCCAGGAATCAAATTAAGCTCGGAGAGTGCCGCGGACGTATAGACCGTTTTCATTTCGACGCCTGATTCTTGCAAAGTGGAAATTAATATTAGCGCCGATAAAATTTGTTCATTTTGTGGCAATCAATCTCTCAACCTATACATATTTTATAATAATATATTATAATGTTTACATTTGTATTCATATATAGGTGTACGTACGAGCTACTCACACTTTTTACGTATTCTACAACGGATTCAATTGCTGAGAGATTCATCCTGGAAGATTTCAGTGTTTCTGATGTTCTCACAGATAGTCACAAAGACATGGGCTGCAGTTTCCTGGGCACATTTAAAACAGTACCCAATTTAGTAAAGGCATTTTCCACGGCAAGTTTTCTACGGGATTAACTTATATAGGTATCAACTTTTCCGCCTCTCTATTTTTATCAGTACCTCAAATTCTCGCCTTACTGATTCCGATAAGGCTGATCAGAGCTCATTCGAGATCTTCGAAATTGATGTTCTGCAATCTGGTTTCAAAGTCACGAAACTGAAAGATATACGTTCGTAAGAACGAGCATTCATCAGGAATTTCTGAAACGTCGACCCTTATTAATTACCTCTTGCTCTATTCGTCTGAATCCAATGGCTATAGTCCTCGCCACTGGTGCTCCTCTCGTCCAAATTATTTTCTAAAATATCATCCTCCAGATCCGTCTTCCCGCACAAATCCGTGCACTTATTTCCATCATTTTTTGTTTAGCAGCCGGATCGTTCTCCTGAGATTTCAATTTTTCTTCATTGCCCTACTTGCAGAATATCTCTGTTCAATCCGTATGATTTGTACCACTCAGCTTTGCAATAGCTTATGCCACATCGCATATCTATACAGACGCTCGCACTTGGTGCATCTACGAGAAGAAAACGCATTTAAAAGAACGCAGTTTGAAAGGAATTTCGTAAGATTTCTAGAGAAAGTCACGTGACGTGCAGCGTCATGCCTCATTAGCTACGCCCGCGCCGATTACGTTGCTACGAGAAGCCAATCAGAACGAAATTTTATTCTAGCGAGACGGCGCACGGTGCTTCTTTCGGATAATGCTTGCCGGTTTAAATTACTCCTTGAAAGGTCTTAGGACTGTAAACAAGCATAGGAACGTTGGCTCAAAGCGACACGAGAGAACAAAGAGGAAGCTATCCAACAGGTAAAGGATCTACATTCTGTTCTATTTCACCTACGATCTGCATTAAAGTTTGCTGCGTTTGACGTGATCCAATTCGATATAATACAGGTATTTGTAACAAACGTGTGTGTGTGTGTGAGAGATTATTATTCTTCGCCCAAAAATACCTCGACGAATCATGGAAACAAGTAGGGCGTAACGTTTCATCTCCGCTCGATCACGCTATTGTATTGACACTCAAGTGAAACGGTTAAATCAAACGAGTCAGTAATTCCATCGTAGAGCTATTAAACAATACACGAGTTTTCCTGAATGAGTTGCAATTAGAACATTAACACATAAACATACGTTTAGAAATATCTCATGTTATACGACGAATCGAAAACTCCTTACACAATGCAAGGCGATTACGATAGGGATAGGGATAGCGATAGCGACAAAATTTTCAATTTATCGAAAGCCGTGTCTCAATGCTGTAGCTTTGCCTTTGTCGGCAACTTTGTCGCTGCCGCTATCACCTATTGTGCAAGGGGCTTAAGGAGCTTATACATGCTACATGTTGCATGAAAAAAGAGCAACGCCGAATGAGCACCCTAATTTTATAATAGATTCTATATCTAACGTATTTCTATACGCTAATAATGTTTCCCCTCTCTTTTGTAACTGAAAAATTAACTTTAGTGTGCTGTAATATATTTATCTCGTCGATTGTGACCTCTTAGGAATTCAAAATTATTATTGCTCCACTCTTCATTTTCTTATGCTTACCTTTATGCCACCGGTCTGTTTACAAGAAACACGTCACGAACTGGTTTAAAAAGACAAAAAAAAACGATGTATATATAAACCGAAAAACAAATACACGATTGACGGCAAGTTAAATGCTCTTATACAAAAATGTCGAGATTTATCATTACTTAAATAAATTCCTCATACGTCTCACGTAATACGCACGCCTTTCCCAGACACGTTTTCATCAAAGAATTTAATAAATTCCTGACGCTAGAAAGAGAGAGAATCCCTAACTTTTACAGCAAAGCGTAATTTTATCTCGCGATAAAACGAAATAAAATGAAAATAGTGTCAACCATTGCCGATCTAAACTCGAACTTTTGCGATCAACAATAATTGAATTAAAGTCAGCGGGTCGCGGAAGGGGGAAGTATTATTCAGTCTTAATTTAATTCCAATACTCCTGCTTATATGGAAGATGATTGATGGACAATAAACCTATCTTTCAATGCTAGCGAAAGTTAGCTCTCTCTCTAATATAAAAATGTTGGCAACTGTTGTTTACAATTTATTTGCAAATCTCACACTAGAAATTGCATTGTTGTTTTTAACTGCAAGTTTATTTTCGATCTATTAATGTTTCATACTTGCATACAATTATTTAGAAACAGTTTTATATACTCTGCTTTTTACATTTGAAATATAAAATATCACAGAGAGTCTTCCTACATATATATATATTAAAACATATATATAATGAATCATATATTTTGTGTTGTAGAAATATTCCACCATGGCAAGAGTTATTACTGCACAGGAATGGAAAGAGAAGGGTAATGAAAAGTTTAACAAAGGCGATTGGTCAAAAGCATTGAATTACTACACAAACGCACTGAAACTAGAAATAGAGAACAACGCTGAAAAAGAAGTGTGCTACAAAAATCGAGCTGCCACTTATTTAATGCTGGACAATTACGAGGAAGTCATTAAAGACTGTAACAGTGCGTTAAAAATATGTTGTAATAAAACAAATCCTAGAGCCACGGTAAATATACATAACTATTAACAAAAGTTCATCAACTTGCAAGACATATTTAGTCCAGATAATATGAAAATTATAACATAATTTTTGTACTAGATATATTAGTAAGAGTTTATATTTCTCAAAATACTACACATGATTTAACAAGTTGATTTTTACATAATTGTTAATTGCTATCGATTAATATTCTACACTCACTATATATAGATATATAAATTACATAATTTAAATATTATCTTTCACAATTATTTACATTTTTATTACAGATCATTTAAGAATATGTTTATTTTTACTTTGTATTAGATATCACAACTGCTGGATTTAGTATTTAACGTGAGCGAAGATAAAGAGAACCGTGAAACCGCTATGATTAAATTGTATACATTCGCACGTGATGAAACTGGTGCCGAGGAGATATTCCAGAAGGAAGGTGTATCAAAAATCGCACAACTTGTGAAAGTTGAAGAGAACGAAAAATTGATCTGCAACGCGATTTATATCGTACGCGCATTATGCAAAAACAGTATTGTTCGAACCGACTACGTTATGAAATGTGTCGGTTTGTTATGGTGTCTGGAAATGATGAACAGCGCATCTACAGAAAGAGTCAACGCGTCTCAAAGTTGTTTACAGGTAAACATTATCGAATAAAATACGTGCAGTTATCATACACGTATTTCAGTAATTCAAAATTTATTACATATTTCGGTTTCAGACTATATTGAACATCTACAGCGGCATGATTAATAAATACCGTCCAAAACCCGACATGAGTTTGTGCTTAAAGTATAAGAGTGAAATTTACATGATACTGTCGTGCTTGTTAAATAGTGTAACGAGTAGAACGATAACAGGCCTTGCTAGAGACGCAACAATAGAATTTATTACACGTAATATGCATCATGCTGCGTTAAACTGGGCCGAACAATTGGTCGACTTTGGCGGTTTGCAAAAATTAATGGAGGTGGCCACCCAATTGGAAAAACACGAATCCTCGCTCGACATCACGTCTTCTACTCGAACTCTTATCAGTATATCCTTAGCAAAAATATATGAAAACATGTACCATGATGCTGCTAAGGAAGAATTTATCGACGCCATTTACGAATTTATTCAGGATAAATTGCTTAAATCTGACACAGAATCCAAAGTATGAATTTTGTAACATCGGATTTTTTCTAATTATTTAAATTGTTTTAAAATAAAGGGTCCATTATCTCCTTAACCATAGCATGCTTGAGATACTTAAACTCTATATTTTTAAAGCAAAAATGTCAAAAAAGATTTTTTTTTCAATTGTCGATATTGTATATTCTGTAACTTACGTATTAAAATACAGTTATAACAGAGTTTAATCAAAATTTATTGAAGAATAAGACTTTGCCATTTTTCATATTTTCTGAAGCATAATTTATCAGAGATTTCTCCTATTATTCATCAAAATTAAATAAAACTAACTGTTGATATTTTTTAAATTAATTATTGTTTCATAAAATGTACAAATTAATTTATAAATTGTTATCATCGATTGTCTTACAGGTGCGTGGAGTAGTTGCGATAATAACCCTGATATTCGGCCCGTTCAAAATTGCAGACGCAATTATTTTCAAAAAAGGGATGATTGAGAAGATCTTCGCTATGGCGGAAACGGATGACGTATTGCAACAGAAAGTGGTTTGCGAATGTGTCATTGCCGGTGCGACTAAATATAATAAGTTCAACGAGTTCATAAATAAAGGTGTAAATATATTGCAGAAGCTGGATAAAACTAATAACGATATAATTCGGATTCTAGCGTTTTTGGGATTGTGCAAGTTGAGTAAATTTGAAAAGTATTACGTTATCCAACCGTTCGCGGGTAAAGCGACGGACGAATTGGTCAAGGTTTGCAGACGATTATTAATAAATCCCAAGAAAGAAAAAAATATAACAAAATGGGCCGTTAAAGGCCTATCGTACCTCACTTTCGACGGCAACGTCAAAGACGAGTTGATCAAGGACCAACAAATCATT